AAGTCACGAAGAATAAAAGTTTTGTTCAGCACAGACCTGGCATTGACCAAACCAAACCGGGTCTGCAGCGGGGCTGCAGCACAGAGATCGCGCACGGACCCAGTCCCCTCTAACTCTGTGCCCGTAACCGAGTGCAGATTCTCCCAGCAAACCCCAGTCTGGCGTGATCTTCGAGCCGATCGGCCGTGGCACTGTGCCGATACACCATCAGAGCCGGCCGAGTTCCCTGGGCAGGGCGCCAAGTAATCCAGGAGACATCTCTGAACCATCGGGTCAGAATCTGGGCCGGATCGGGCCAGCCGCTTGTTCAGGGATCCAGGCCGACGTCTCACGCGCCGGCTACCTCTCTTTCCTCGTCTTCTCCGATGCTTCCTTCTCGAGCTGGGGCGGACAGAGGGCCGACACATCACGGCTTGGGTGGAGAGAGCACGCGGGCAGTTCAACCAGCAGCATCGTCCGTGAGGTTCATAGCTCGCACAGCCCGGTTCCCAGCGCACGCTGCCGGCTACATCAACGGAAGGACGAAGCCTCAGCAGCGCAGCTCAATCATATGTCAGCAGAGGATCCACACCATTCAAAAAAGGGATCAGCGACAAGAAAAGTGCATAAAAGCCAATAAAACGCCAATAAAAACCGATAAAATGCAAGGCATCAGTGCGTAAAGAGGACGAGCAGCTCGCAGCGTGACCGTGCGCAAGCGCCATCTTACGCCATCTTACTCTGTCGCCAGATTATCGCACTTGCAACTTCAGAGTGCCGGTCTGGTCCCTGTTGGACTTAGTAATGTGGAGCTGACATGCCTGGCGCTGGAGCCTGCTTCCAGCACGTTTCCCGCATGTTTTAGATCATGAACACGTGGGATTTGTTTGAGTTAGTGATGAACTGCTTCTGTAGAAACTAATGAAGGCTGGGGTGACATTTCAGCACCCTCCGGCTCTCGGAGGGTGTTGACGCTTTTTTCCTCCTCTCCTCCATATCTTATCCTCAAGGCCTTTGTCTGTCTGTGTGTGCTGGGTGTACGGCTGCTTCTGCATTTTTTCTGGAAACTGGAAACTGAAATACATTTAAATGGATCTCGTTAGCTGGTCTCTCAATGCGATTGATAACATTTTTTCAACGATGAGAACGGGAGAAGGGGCTTCCGGATGCCCCTCCGCAACAGACCCAGTTGGACACATCATGGACTCCTGGAAACAGTGGAACTTGATTTGTTTATCTCAGCTGTCTGTGGAGGACTCTGAAGACGTGTGGATATTCGTGGTGTTGGTGTCAGGTTTCCTGCTCATTGGCCTTGGAGGCTTCCTGGCTTACCGGAAAATTAACGAGCTGTCGAGGAATACTGGCCTGATCCCGGAGCTCAGAGATGGTTTGCACCGCGCTGTGAATTCACAGACTCACATAGTTGTTGAGATGAATCGTAAGCTTGGGACTTTGGCCACGATTCATTCATTGGCACAAAGATGGATGCCATCAAGGAGAGAGTGGACGAATCAGCACGGATTGGGATAGATTAACGTCCATTATTGGGATTCAGAGAGGTTGAGGACCAACAAACTGTAAGACAGAGAGGGAATGATCTCTGTCTGGCCCCAAAACAATTTCTAATCTGAATCTGGCGCCCTTGAGCCAGCAAGGCTCCAACGAAAACTCCCCCCTCAGAAGATATGTGGAATGTGCCGTCGCCATGGCAACTCAACTCTGTCTCCTTTCCCAGCCTGGGCGGGACTGCGGGAAGGCCGCTGAATCGTCCAGGGTCACTGCAACCCTCCAACCCTCAATGCTCCTCCCCCTATCCACACTGAGGTGACATGCGCTGCTTATCGTGGCTGCAGGAACTGAAGTGGGGATAGTCCCAACCCACCACCCCACCTAGTGGACACTTATGTTGTGTTGTCTGAAGTCTGTTGCACATCTGTCTGAGGTGTTTTTTTTTTTGCAGAGCAAAGCTGCCCTCCCTGTGGAGGGTAACTCTGAAGTGCCTATTTTTCCCTCCACCTGAACCAATCCTCATGTAACCCTCTGATCTCTATTAAGGTAGCGCGACTCAGGGTTGCGAATGACCACAGTCACCAATTCTTGTCATGTGTCTATGCCCATGTATGTCTGATCTCTGAATTGTGTGTACTGAAACTCTAATTCCCCTCTGGGATTAATAAAGTATCTTTGAGTTTGAGAAAAGTTTGACTCTTGGTTTTACTAACTGAACATTAGGGGGTGCTAAAAGTAAGCCACAACTGCAAAGTCTCACTTTAATAGTGACTGAACACTGAAATTCACTACATTTCATCCATTTTCTATTTCTGCTCATCCACGCAGGGAGGCTGGTGCCAATTTCTAGCAGTCTTTGGGCAAGCAGGCAAGGTAGCTACACCCTGGACAGGTTGCTAGTCCATTGCAGTCCTTACTTTTCAGTTTAATTAAATTAATTGATTATCAATATATTTATTTTTAATTGAAGCCAACATATTACATACATCAGCTGCAAACCAGTGCCAGATTTGTGTTTATTCTCAGATTAAATTATAACTAAGATGCTGCTTAAAGTAAAACTAGAGTTTCTTGATTCTCCACCCTACTGGTTGAAAGCGGAATAACAACTGTCATAAATAACCCTGCTGTAATTAGTGCCAATAATGAGCTAACGCTAACATGAGCCAACTAATACTAAAATAAACCACAAAGTAAAAACGTGTCTACCCTGTTAGACAAACAATATTGTTACTTACAAGTCCAGGAACAACAAGACCAGGTCACCATCAGTTTGTGATTTTGTAGCCTCCTTTAGGTCACTCAGATTAGTGTAGGCCACATTGATGTTTACCCCTTCTTTCCACCGGAACCGCCAGCAGCACGTTACTGCAGCAGCACGTCTTGCTCGCGTAAGCTGCTGCTGCTTGGCCCTTCCCACGACGAGACGCAAAGCAGCAGGGGAGCAGCTGTCACCGACAGAGCACGAAGTCACATGAGTGACTTCGTCAGTAAACACAACAACAAGCAGGAGAAAACTACAACTTGGCTCCAAAAGGTTTGTGTTTTATGTTCTGTCCATTTTATAATCGCCAATACAGACCTGAAAAACAAAGGAGACCGCTAGCTAGGTGATAACTTCTCACGGGGCCGCACAGTTAGTAACTTTCTTTAAAGTAAAGCAACCGAAAGGCAATACGTTTCTTTATTCTGAAAATCTCGGGAGCTTCGCTCCGTTTCCGCGTCCGGTTTCCTGTCTTTCCTTCCCCAAAACTGTCGAACTTGATCCGTTTCAGAGGCGTCGCGCGTAGAAAATAGAACTGGCGCGTAAGGGCCGCGACATGCTGCTCCTGAGACGCGGCCGACTCGCGCTGCCGACTACTCCGGTGGAAAAGGTTCTGTTGACCACAGCGGTTCCTATCAGCAGCTATGACGTGCTGCTGCAGTAACGCGCTGCTGACGGCTCCGGTGGAAAGAAGGGGTTACGCTGGTTTTAGCTCTTCACTTCACCTTCAGGGCGAGGGAGGAGATGATGGCGGCGCGCACGGGTGCAGCGGCTCTTAGCTCTCCAGTTTGGATTGCTATTCTAATGCCATTTTTTTACATGATATGGTAGCTGCTGTTCTGTATATAGTGTGTTAGTCGGCATATATTACTTTCTATTATTTTGTCACTTACTAGTGTTTTGTTACTTACTATTGTTTTGTTATAGGGGACCTTTATATTTAGAGGTATTATTGTATTGTGCACCAAGGGAGTGGCACTCCAATTTCGTTGTATCCTGTACAATGACAATAAAGGCTATTATTATTATTATTATTATTATTATTACCTCCGGACATTACTCTCTTCCTTGTACTTCCAGGCTCTGCCATGATGTCAACAGAGAAGCAAACTTCTTTTTCTTCTTGTGCTTTTTATTGACGATCGGCAAACTGAAAAAGCAAACGGCTAACATTAAGTGTGATTTTTGACCAGCAGAGGCCTGCAGAGTGGTGTCAAATATGAAACTGGTCAAGTTTCTAACTCGGCGTTCACTGAGATCGATGTTAAAACTCTAGTTTAAAGTTCAAAAAACTATTTAGTGTTCCCATTAAGTTTAAGTTCCAAACATCGTGCCTTTTCGCTGCTGCTCCCACACGCCAAAATCCTGAAACAAAGTCAACAACAGCCGCTATCCAGAATAATATTTATTGCTTTTTGAAGATATTAATCTTTTCTTCTTTTTTGCACTTTTCCATTGATCCTCTTTACAGTAAAATAAGGAAAGATGACTCAAACTCACTGCATTTTCATTTTTGGATGTGCGTGTACGCACGCGCGCACACACACGCATGGACGTAATTTTCACTTAAGAAGTGGGGGGGACACGGGGGTGGGTGGGTGGGGGGGTGTATCTTTACAGTATGCTCTAATGGGAAACAGGCTTCAACACAAACGGTTGTTTTCCGCTTGGTCCTAGAGCTCAACCAGTGTCACTTTAATATAGCGTAATGTTGTTTTTGGACGGTAAAAAGTGCAGGGGTCAAAACTTGACTTTGGAAAAAGTGGGGGGGACATGTCCCCCCTGTCCCCCCCCCCCCCCCCCCCCCAAAAAAAAATTACGTCCATGCACACACACACACACACACACACACACACACACACACAGAAAGGAAACAGTATTTACAGCATTCACTGGTAGCGACCCTTCTTGTAAACAACTCAACGTGGAGCTTTACAATAATTTTACAACAGTGCGTTCATCCTCAAAGCCCTGGGCAGTGGTCACTGTGAGAAAAAGATGCTGCTTTTGCGATTTTAGGAAAATTTAACGAGTTTTTGTAAATTTTTTCTCCCTTTTTAACAGCAAATCGAAATGCCTTCTTGATGCTGGAAGCAGGGACAAGAACACTGACTGAATAATAATCTTAACAGATTTTAAGGGGAGGATTAAAAATGAGCAAATAAAAAAATACCGAGACCAATAATATTCACATCTGACTAATTACAGTTGGTTACACCAAGTGAAAAAAATAAATCTAAAAGGCAAATTTAACAGGATTGATTTAATCAGAGATAAATCTCAGAGTGAACTCGTCCTCATCATTAAAAAATAAAACAAAAACCTTCAGAGTGCAGATCTTCTCCCATTAATAATTTAAACTTTGATACACCTAAGCTTATAATTATCCAACATGTTTAAATACTCAATTGAATCACAACAATACAGCTTCATCTTATCATAGCGAATATGAATTAAAGGTCATGTACACCATATTAAAATATATACACAGAAATATTAATACAAATGTTGAACTGGTCCAGCTCCCATTGCTCTGTTTCTACCCTGTCAGAAAATCTCACCAGAAAAAAGGTAAATTCTCACAAAGTGAGACAATCACTGATAAAATTATAGATTTTAAACATTTAAATGATCAAATATAAAAAAATATGATTACTTAAAAAAAACATGGATTAAGATAAAGAAGAAATGTGTAAAAAAACACCACTAGGTGGCAGTATTTGACTTTTTCTTAGGATGTTTTTATATTTTTTTGAACCCAACTCATGAAATACCTATAAAAGTTCGTCAATCCAAGTAACGTGTATTTTTCTGTTCTGTTAGCAAGGATTTGGATTCTTAATATTTGCAATTTATCACCTCGTTGACTTCTGTCAAATCTCCAGCTGAAGAGTTCTGCTCGTCGTCGAGGGCAAAGATTTGGTGTAAGGAACTCACAAGATGGTGACACGGACAATAAAACAAATATTGATTGTGGAATCAAATGTTGGCGAGATGAAATCTTACACAGCAAACAGGGAAACAGGAGTTTCAGAAGTAGAGAACTGAAGTGTTTTTCTTGGAAAACTGTTCGTCAAGAGCGACTGAAGGTTTGATCACTCTGAGCAGAAAACGGTGAACCAGAAACGTCCAGAGAGGAGAGGAGAGTCATCAGAGCAGAGACGTCACAAAACGTCTTAGCTGTGGATCATTTTCAGAGTCTCTGCTTCCCTGTGCCTCTCGCGCAGAGCCACGGAGGGGGAGAGTGATGGAGGCAGGGACGGGGGCGGAGGGCTGATAGGCATCATGGCCTTCAGGGGATGAGGGGATACAGGCGGGGGCAGCGAGGTGATGGGAGGCATCATGCTCCCTTTCTTTCCATCCAACACGACCTGCGGTCGGCTCACCAGGGCGGACTTCCCGATGCTGAACTCGTGCTCGTTCTCGTTGTCCGAGCTGCAGTCGCTCAGATCTGTTATCTCCAGGTCCGAGTCCGACTCCGGGTCCTGCTTCACCCCCCCTCTCCTCTCTAAGGGGCTCTGCTGGCCTGTCCCAGTCCCGGCTCCTAAGCTGACCGCTCCCAGCCCCAGGCTCAGCCCCGTGCTGGGCGCATTGGCCTCAACCCTCTCCCCCAGTGTGGCGCCATTTCCAATGTCTGTCCGCCCCATCATCAGACTGCCTGGGTAGGGGGGGAGGCAGAGCCGGGCGGGCTGACCACCCGCCGTGCCGTTCATCCCACCAGTCTGCCCTGGCGCTCCCCTCTCACCTCCACCAGCCTCTCCAGGGGGGAGCAGTGAGGAGAAGGGGTTAGGCAGCTGGGATAGACTGCTCTGCAAGGGGTTGGGGTAAAACTGGGAGGGATAGAGTGAGCCAGGGGGCAGTTTGGGGCAGTTATTAAGAGAGAAGGCCCCTGGGAGGTAGGGATTGAAGCCCCAGGGGTAGTCAAAGGGTGGGTTACGAGGGTACGGGCCCAGCAGGGACGGGGGCTTGGAGTAGCACGGTGCGCCTAGGAGAGAGAAGATCCAGACATGGAGGTTAGCTCTGAGAAGGGGCAAAGGTTTCCTGACATACAAGATCCAAGAATGTTCACTAATTATATTCAGGATTTGCAATTCAAATCAGGAGCCACAGGGGCTAAAAAAAGCATCAAAACCTGCTGGTTCGTTCGTGCATACCAGTACTGAGCACTGGTGTGAAACAGATGTCAGCACAAAGATCCAGCGGTGTAATAAAAGTGACCAACTTCAAATATGATCTTTTTCCATATGCTGGAGAATTTATTTCTATTTGAAGGCACGAAATAAAGTCAATTAAACATCATTAAACCATTTCAGATCAGTCTGAAACACTCAGATTCACTCCAATTAAACATATCTCTGCTTTTGATTCAGTTCCTTGTAATCATCAGCTCACAGGTCCGATTTATCCTCCTTTTCTCGCCAGATTTCCAATTTTAACGAACAAACAGAAGCATTGCCTCCGAACCAACTCCACTTCCTTCCAAATGACAGCCAGCTCAGAGATGCTGTCTCTGCTGCAGCCTCCACCTCTCTCCCGGTCTCGCTCCTTCCCTCTTCCACTCTGATATTTACTATGCAGGGCTAATTTGACAGCGCTGAAGTCTCTGCGTGCCGGGCCAGGAGTAGCTGGCAGACACATGAATATTGAATCAGTCAGGCAGGCCTCACTTGCTTATGAAAACACAGTAATGGGCGCCCACAGGCCACAAACTGAAGCCTGCACCCTCAATTAGGGCCTTCCTGCCTGGGAAGGGATTAGGACAGCAGGGACACATGGGAGGGGAGGGGAAGAGGGGGGGGGGGGGGTAGGACCTGAGGACAAACAGAAAGAGGAGGGAGGTGAGGTGCAGGCTGCATGTGTGTGTGTGTGTGTGTGTGTGTGCATCTGTTTACATGCTACCTCTGTGCATAAACATGCAGACACAACCAGAAGTGTGATGCACAATTCCACGCTGTGTGTTGATGCACGTGTGCGGAGCCGGAGGAGGACAACTGTGGACAATCACGCTGAAAAGCTGGATGATTTCTTGTTTCTTACCTCTGCTCACCTGCATAATTCACAAGCTAACCTGGCTCCTCTCACCTGAGGCGCAGCCTCACTGCGGGCTGCCGTGGGACGGCTACCTTTTCTTATTTCCTTTAACAATAAATGTTCACGCCTCCCCACATCCTCACTCCTGTCTCTGCACTCCTCCTTTCTCTCCTACTTTTATTTAAGGTCTGTTTTCTGCCTCTAAGGTGCTAAAAAAAACTCTTCAGGGCTCTGAAGGATTAGAAGATTTCTAGTTTTGCATCAGCGCTTAAGAGGCTCACCTGAACTGAGGAAGGGGAACGCGTCCAGTCTCAGTTTGTCTCCATCGGGTCCTGGTGCCGCAGAGCCCCGATCGAACAGGGACGCTGCTCTGCCGGCGTCTGGCAAACGAGGAAACAGGGACTGTATGGCCTGAGTGAGAGAGAAGAAATGCAAAAACGCGATTTTGTTGTCTCCAAAACAAAAATAAACAAACAACACTTCTAAATCAAGCATGGTCTTCTGCCTTGTGGTGCATGAGGGGTAAAGTCAAATGTTGACAGCTGCACCCTGCAGAGCGTGACGCAAAAAGTGCCACAGTCGCAGCAAGGACAGGATAAAAAGGAATCCATATGACTTGGTGTAAAAAGGGGAGGTGGAAGGACGCGGAGGCTCAGAGACTCAAAGGCGGGGAAATTACAGAGTCAAACGGAGACCAGAGATTAAGAGTGTGTGCACAGAGGATAGATGACACGAAGAAAGCAGGATTGAGGGCCAGATGAAAAGAAAGGAAGGACAAATAGCAGTGGGATACGATAGATTGACATGCAGAAAGCAGGGCGTGTGTGTGTGTGTGTGTGTGTGTGTGTGTGTGTGTGTGTGTGTGTGTGTGTGTGTGTGTGTGTGTGTGAGACAGAGAGAGAGAGAAAGTCAGAGGGTGTTTTGTGCTTTGTGAAAAAAACTGGAAGATGAGGCAAAGTTAGTGCAGCAGCTGAACCTTGGGAATCAAGGGGACAAAGGTGGGATCTTTCCTCCCGTCGCACAGCGCTGGATCAATAGCATCTGTCACCCCCGCAGCCCCAAGTTTGAAAGTTGAGACTGTACTTCCAAGCTGCGAAGATCTGCGTTGCTTAACAACCCGCATTAATGACCCACCATTGATGTGATCTGACACGGCCCTCCTTGCCTTCTTTTGCTTTCATTTTCAATCAATGACAGATGGCTACGCCGTCGGAGACGGGGATGAGAGGAGGAGGGGGATCATGTTTTCTTTTGTTTTAAGGGCACGTTAAGACCATCCTCCTTCTTGGTCTCCTTCAGAGTCTGCATCTACTTTTCCCACCTAAAGGACGGCACAGGCAAACGATGGAGGATTCTCCTTTCGCACTTTACTTTGGAGTTCCTGCTGCTTCAGTTCAAATGTTCACTTCATTCTCATGTTTCTTTATATGTGATAAATAGAAACATTTATTTAAAATTATGTTTGTGTTTATTCATTTAGCAGACGCTTTTATCCAAAGCGACTTACAGTTTATAACCTATAGGGCATGTTGTGATCTGTGGGGGAAACCGGAGGACCCGGAGGAAACCCACGCATGCACGGGGAGAACACGCATCTCCACGCAGAAAGGCCGCAGCCGAGTTTCGAACCTGCAACCTTCGTGCTGCGAGGCAACAGTGCTAACCACTGCGCCACCATGCACTCAAATGACCTGCATACCAGCACTCATGAGGACTTTTATAATTAATATCAACACAATTCATCACCCTCTTCCTATCAAGCTCTTCCTGTCTGCCTGATCAGAAAACTTTATGCGTGGTTGGAGCTTAACACGTTTCTAAGTAGAGCTTCAACATGAAACAAGAAGGAACGGGAGTGGAAAAAATCATTTTCTGAGCAGCAATTTATTAAGCAAAATGAATAAATGCTTACGCTGAAACGGGCCGTTGTACATTGGGACTCTGTTTCACAGTCTCTCAGTGATAAGTGGGAGCTATTATGACGGCTATCAAAGGCAATGAATAAAAGATGGGGATGATGAGGACCACGCTTGCAAGAAAGGAAACGCACAGGAGGACTCTGAGAACACAACAGCAAAACTCACAGGAGCAAAGTGGATCAGGTACTAAAATCATTGCTCCTGAAAATTTAAACGCTGCACTGAGGTGTTTGGGTCCTTTATTTCCTTCGCAACAGATTTCTGATCCTTCTTCAGATAATTAAATACAACAAAAGTCAGATTTTAGCGTCTAACTTCTACGCGGCGGAAAGTTTGCATTTGTGTCTTTAAAAGAATCTTAAAACTTTAAAGGTGTGCCCCGTTTCCCGTCCTCCATCCTACCGTTCGTACCTCTGGGCTGCAGTCCGGCGCGGCGGAGCCCCCGTTGAAGTGGTTCTGGGCCAGGAAGAAGGGAGAGTTGGCCATGTCCAGGATGGGGTAGTTCACCAGCACCACCTTACTGAAGTTAAACTTGTAGGTGAAACGTTTCCCTTTGGTTTTGTGCAAAATCCGCTTGTTGTAGTAATACCTGCAAAGGGAGGAAGAAGAGGAGGAGGAGGAGGAGAGGGCATCGATGGAGGGATGGAGAGAGGTGGTAAAGGATAAAGGGAAAAGGAAAAGGTTAGGGAAGGATTAATTTAATGCTCACATCAAGGTTTTGTGTTTCCTCACTGTAAGAAAAGAACGAGTAAACAATCTGAGCGCTGTGAGGCAACGAGCTATGCTGATTTCCCACTGTTTGAATTCATCTCCTACCTCCTCAAATCAATTCACGTCTTGCTGCTTTTATTCAATACAACGTGATTTTTTAAAGCTAAATTTTATTCCCGAAAAAAATCGAAGGTCTAAATCCTTTTGAACTCATAACAAACAGCAAAGGCACTTCAGAACAATTCGTATTCATCAGGAACCAAACAGCATCCCTAAAAAAACACAGAAAATTGGCACTGTTTCATTAAAACACGAGTTTATGAATATCAAAGGAAAAAATGTGTTTTGGTGAAATATTTAAACTGAGAAATTAATTTATTCTAAATAAAAACCCAAGTAGATAAAGTAAATAAATAATAAACTTCTGTGATTTAATTGAATTATTATTATTATTATTATTATTATTATTATTAGAAAGGCTCATAAATTAAATCCGGTTTGTTCGAACTGAACAATCAGCCACAGTTGGGCTTCTCTCTCAAACACGGCTTCACTCCCACCAGGGTGGCAAGTTTACAGAGAGGTGGTACGACAACAGTGGTCTCCATGGTAACGACCTTGGGTGTCTCCCGTTGGGCATGTCAAACCGTCGTCATGCCAGCTTCCTCTCCCACCCACGGAGGTGTCACGGCGTACGGCGTGTGCCAGGATGCCGGCTTCATCGGCGCTAAGGAGGCAAAACGCGGAGCCATCTGGTTCAGGTGAGGAGGAGCTGAGGTGCTCAGGTGGGGGCAGCATGGGGAAGCGGAGTGTGTGTGTGTGTGTGTGTGTGCGCGCGCAGAACGATCGCTCCGCTTTGCACCGCCTCAGCATTAAAACCGTGGTCCCTTCATTATGCAGACGCACCGCATCAACAAACGCAGCAGAACGTTCATATCAGCGTGTAGAGGCTGATCCCAGCGCAGTGATGTGAACATGTTTTGCTTTGCGTGGCAATTGTGCCTCGGCTCCTAATTGAGCAATTAAGTAAGGCTAATTAAGAAGGCTAATTGTGGCCCCAGCCAATTCATAACAATTAGACTCCAACGACAGCCCCCATTAACAAGGGGCCACAGGAAAGCGTAAGGGGGGGTTGGTGGTGGTGGTGGTGGTGGTGGTGGTGGTGGTGGGGGGGGGGGGTTACACAATAAAATAGTGAGAGTGATATTACGTGGTGAATTTATACCATTTGTTTTACTCGCCTTCCAAAAGTTTAGTTTTATTCTGAAAGGAGTTGAAGTAATTCCACTCTGGGGCTTAATTTTCAAATCCCTATTGACTTTTATTTATTTATTTTTGGCAGCTCAGTGGTGAACTTTCCATTGGGCGTCACCAGATAAGGAGAAATTGAGGGTATTGACGTCTCCGTGGAGAGTCTCCCCTTTATCTTTCCGTTTCCACCATCATGAAAAAGAGATGTTAAGTGAGGATTAAATCCAGCCAGAGTAAACAAATAATGCAAACGTCGCGCCTCTCTGGTGCAGAAGTACCTCAGAGCCCGGCTCAGCTTGTCGTAGTTCATGTGAGGTTTGCACTTCCTTATCCCCCACAGCCGGGCCACCTCGTCTGGATCCTTGATGACGAACTCCCCGTAATCCCCCTGCCAGGCGATCACGCCCTGATACTCCTCCTTCTGCAGCAGCTCCAGGATGAAGTGCCACAGCTGGATCTGCCGGGAGCCCGGGCTCGACTCGGGCTTGTAGGCCCAGTCCGGGAAGGCGAACCCTGGGTGGGTGAAGTGGGGAGAAAGGGGAGGATGGGGTTAAGGCTCGTCGTTTGTCCCCTCGGTTCGCTCGTGGGGGATTGCTGTCTGGATGACTGATGGGTGATGGACTTGAGGGATGATGTGTTTAATATCACAGCATGTGCCTTGAGTAATGTTAGTCCGTGCTAATGCCCTCTAGCTTCAACAGATTGGTCAGCGGGATGATGACAGCTCGCTGGGGGAGAGAGAGAGCAGGCTGATGCTGCTTGGGTTTGAATGTTAAGAGCCAGCTTGGATGGAGGTGGGTAGCTTTTGGGCTCGGCTCAGTGTGCATCCAATTACCAGCACATGTGTGTGAGTGTGTGTGTGTGTTTTTTTTAACATTTAGTAAAGAAAATTCTGCACAAAATGTTTTGCCTTTGTTTGGTGCGTTCAAACTAAATTTTGAGATATATGTCGTGTTTGCATACAAAATTCCTGGTTCAGCATCAGGTGACGAAGCACTGACCTGGTGTCCAGAGGGCGGGCACAGGGGGGAGCAGCAGATCACTGACGCAGTTGCAGTCCATGCCGCCACAACACCTGAAACAAGCGGAAGCTTAGACTTGAGAAGAAACACGACTCGGCTAAACCAAAGTCAACCGAGTTTATTTGGTCCAGCTGAAGTTGCAGAGCGTGAAAGTTTGTTGAAAACTGAGATGTTGCGTAAGGTTCTGAAGCAGCACCGCGAGTTCAAAATGGTACGTTAAATCGATGTGAGATATAGCAAGGTTATGTTTCATATGTCTTCGGTGGAGATAAGGTGTTTGATGGATGTGATCTCGTGTAGCCACCGGGGGCTGCGTCTGATGCAACATGGTGGACATCCCAAAAGGAGGCTTCTAAAAACTAGTCCTAAAGCTCCTTTAATTATATATATTCAAGTTTCTTTAATTCTTTGTAGCTTCTTTTTAAATGCAGCCGCTGCAGAAAAGACAAATGTTTGATTTGGTTTAACAAACTGGAAGGAGTTCAAGTTTTTCAGCTGCTACTGATTGCGAGGATTCATGTTTTTGGTGAAACTTTTTACTTAAATGTGAGCAGCCACAGATCCACGCTGGAGGAGAGTTTTGAACTAAAAACAGAACAAACATGGAGCACTGGGGCGATCGTTGCTGAAGCTCAGGTCACCACACTGAGGGCGGAGCAACAAGGGCGCGCATGGCTGCATGGTGGCGCAGTGGTTAGCACTGTTGCCTCGCAGCACGAAGGTCGCAGGTTCGAAACTCAGCTGCTGCCTTTCTGCGTGGAGTTGCGTGTTTTCCCCATGCATGCGTGGGTTTCCTCCGGGTACTCCGGTTTCCTCCGCAGATCACAACACGCCCTATAGGTTATAAATTGTAAGTCGCTTTGGATAAAAGCGTCTGTCAAATAAATAAACACAAATAACACATAAAGGAGTTAGGTTCAAAAACAACTGTGTCATTTTGTCAGATTAATACTTTTTAATACTATACTATTTTTATTTATTGTGATCTGATTGATCATTAATGGAAACGCAAAAACAAATTTCCTGCAATGCATTTGAAGCAGGAGACATGTCTCTTGTCCACTTTATAAATATACAACTGTCAGAAATGAAATTTGTATGAAAGATTAAAATGGTAAGAACTTGCTCTTGCTATTCATCTACAGGCGAAACTAGAAAAATTAGAATATGGTGCAAAAGTTCATTAATGGCAGTTAATTTAATTAAAAGGTGAAACTAATTCACGAGACGGACTCATTCCAGGCACTTTCAAGTCTTTATTTGTTATAATTGTGATAATTGTGGCTTACAGCTGATGAAAACTCAACATTCAAAATCTCAGACAATCAGAATATTGTGAAAAAGTTCAATATTAGACTTGGAGGTGTGGTTTACTGATTTATTCAACACATTTGCTTGTTCTCTAGTGTAAATCGATGCCCGATGAGTCATTAAAAAAGAGCTATAATGCTCCTGTTCTGAGATTCAGACGTTTGCTGGTGCAGAGCTGGGCTGGACACAGCAGGATTGCTCATTATTGTTAATGATATGCACACACCTCACTTCTGATTGGCTAACATTCTGTTAGCCATGTTGCAAAGTCGCTATCACCAAGACATTCTGCTCTCTTCTCGCTGCAGCTATTCTTTGTTATAAAGCCTTCCTGTGGCGGGCACGAGCCAAGATGGACGAAGCCGTGAATGCAAATTCATAGTGTGACATAGATATGTGAGGACGTTTTAATCCTAGAGTTTCACCGTCTCTTTTCTAGCAGAAGCTAATTCAGGAGATAGGTGTAGGAGACTATTTTCATGTTCAGCTCGCAGGAAAAACTCGGAGTGGCCCGTTAGAATCAAAAATATTCATTTAAAAATGTATTTTTCAGTCAACCGCGCGTTTAAAGCAGCGTCACGCTCTAATCAGCTAATGAATCCAGAACACCTGCAGAGGTTTCCTGGGCCTTTACATGGTCTCTCAGTCTAAGTTGGATTACTGAAATAAAAAGGCCTTTTGCACCATATTCTCATTTTTTGAAATTCACATGTATTTGGGATTGTATGTTCAATAAATGCAGTCGTTGCTGTGGTAATTTAAATGAGCCCATGTGTTGTTCCATTTTTATATTTATTTTTGCTTCAGAATGTAAATCAGTTCCTATGTAAGTAACCAGTTAGATCAACTAGATCTGACTTCAATTCATAAAAGAAAATTAAATCTCCAGTAAAAAAAATCTTTTAAATCTTTTCCAAACAAAACATGCTTTAAATGTATGATCCCATCACGCTTGTTGCACAGTGAAGCATTTTCATGATTAAATACAGAATGACGTAAGGTGATGAACAAGTTCCCGACAGGAGCTGGCGAGGAGGTCCAGGGGTTACCGACGGGACATGACGGGGTTTGGGTGTCGTGCTTTCATCGGGCTTGTTGTACAACGCTCCGACAGAACAGCAGAACCCGCTGCTGCACTTTCACTCTGGCCTCTCCATCTGCTCCTCACTCTCTGCCTCTATTTAATTATGCTCTCTGAATTTTGGATTTTCCCTCAAGCATTGAAATGGAACGTGAATTATT